CAAATAATAATAATATCAGCAATTCATTATTTTAAGCGCGCCTTCCTATAATGAATATTTGCGCATTAAATTTGCAAATTTTATGTTTTAATGCATGAAAACATTTTAATTATTTTTAAAGTAGCTATATGACGCTTACATTTAATTAAAGCTACTATGTGCTAAAAATAGTTCATGTTATAAGCCTAGTTAAAGCTAGTAAGCAGCTACTAAACTTGTCCTTTGGTAGACAAGGGACTAGGGAATAGGGAATCCGTAAACTTGGCTCTCTGGCTATAAAGTTGAGGCAAATTAAACTAGAAATCCACTTGAAACTGTGGCAGAGGCCAAAGCAACTATGCTCATAGTGCACGAATTTGAGCATAAACGTGTTCGGTATATTAAACGTTTAAACACGAGATTTATCAATTACGATTATCGATTATTCTAACTGAGATAAAGTCAAGAATATTGTTAGTTTTCTCTTTCATCAAGCTTGAGAATCAAGGCTTTGGGTCCTGCTTCATGAGGATAGAGTATGGATGCTGTCAAGCACTTGAGCAAGATCTTGGAAATTAACACCTTGAGTAGCAGAGATACGGTGGCAATGATCTAGTGAATACACTAACCAAGGGAGATAAGAGACGGGTTTTAAAGGGCAAGAACGAGACAGTGATATGACCTGAATGAAGGATAACGAAGAATATAATGGCCAAGTTTGATCAAAATTTCTAGCACAAATAGAGGGCGAGATATGGAAACCAAAAGTAAGTCCGAATAGGCCTCACTAACTACGGTCAGAAGGGTGCATCTAGACTAAGCTAAAATAGGTAATAAAAGATATGAGAACCAAGAAAGTGTTGCACTCGGTATTTTGGCAGTCTTTTTCCGATTTATAGAAGTATTATTACCTCGTTTTCGCAACTTAGTCTTGTTGCCAGGGTGACTTAGTTAAACGTACCCTGTCTGAAGTCCTCTGCCAAGGTAGTTATCATAATTCCAAGCATCAGACTTTGGACTTGGTACATTCTCAGATGTTTTGCCGCCCTCTAAATCGGCATCATCAGGAAGTCTTGCCATTTTGAGCACCAAGCTACAAATCGTCAAAGAGACAAGTAAATTCAATCTTTTGACCATACTTTCTGCTGAAACGGTTGTGCTATCTCTTCTATTTCT